AAGGGGAAACGATTCAAGTCAGCGGAAAAAAGACTGACCATTAATGTTCTTGGAAACTCGTCCGGATAGTTACCCTCGTATATCGATAATCTACCAGTGAACCAGAGGACACACAGCTACCTCACGACCCATCCTGTTGTTATAAACCACACTGAAGCCCAATAATGTTTCAAAAAGTGTCTTGCAGTGCTCACCACCAGCCCCGAAGGTTATAAGTGTAAGATCACCCTCGTTTACCAGCATTACGTTAGCTAACCATTCAAATAACCAACGCTGATAACGGAGCCCACTGACTGACAACACACTGCTAACACGTTTCATTAATGGCTACAAGCCGATAGAAGAGTCAGTACTTGTGTTCAGAAAGGTGCCGGCGGGGTTGTGGCTAGTTAAAGTGCCACTTGCTAACATGCTGCTGCCACAAACAGGGTATTTTCGCTCGCTGACGACGGCGGTGCTAGCGCGTTAGCTAGCTAACAGCAGTTGGTCAACTAGCTAACGGTTGCTAGCATCGTTTTATCCCAACGTAGCTAGCTAATGTGTAAGATGCCACTATAACGTACTGACACTCAATTTAATTCACCCCAGAATACGAGGTATGGTCGTTTACTGTCTCTGTATATGTAACAGCTGTAAACACTCCTCTGGTATCAGTTAATCCTACACACTTGTAGCTAGCACGCTAACAGGTTGGCTAACTAGCTACACGCGGCCTTCGAGGCAGCCAGGATCCACAACAACATTTCCTCCTCAGACGTCCCGCACTTCACGCAGCCCGGACACGCACACACAATCACTGGAGTCCGGTGCCGCAAGGCCAAGTAAACATGTTGGATTAACAACAGACCCAAGCCCCCCTCCAGCCCCTCTGAATATGCCTCCCTGACATGACACCTCACCTAAATGTACGATTCTCTCTTTGCTAGTGTATTAAACTTTGGCTGTCTTACCTCTGCTTGTTCTGACAGCACAAGGTTTGTATGCGAGTTGTGTGGTCTCTCTCTCTCTCTCTCTCTCTGTGTGTGTGGCGCTCTCTCTCTCTCTCTCTCTCTCTCTCTCTCTCTCTCTCTGTGTGGCGCTCTCTCTCTCTCTCTCTCTCTCTCTCTCTCTCTCCGTTTTCCACAAGATGGCTGAGTGTAGGTCACATGACTCCAGATAAACCCCCGTATGCTTCCGTACAAAGAGTCGCTGACTCGTCCGTATTCAGTAACAACGAGGTTGAATGTTACCACTGTAATAATGGCTGCGGACCGAGCATCCAGCACCAAACCAACCCTCACATGAGATACCGTGTGAACAAAGCGGGTGTTACTTTGTTTTGGTACACAGCAGAAGTATTTATGAAGGGACACATGTGCCACCCCGTCCCCCCCCCTTTAAGTACAGTAGCTTCTCAGATGTGGTGCAACATGTATGTGTATGTATGTGGCTCCCCCACAGAGGGGCTGACATGAGTAAGTGTGGTTATAAATAAAATAAAACACCAGTTTGAAATGTTGGATCTCAAGTAAGTTGTTTTAAGTGATTAGATACCGTATGTATTTATTTAAACAAAATCTGTATTGGTTTTCTACGGATGTGAACATTTTAATTTAAACTTTAAAGATTTATTTTTTCTTTTTTTTCTTTTTTTACTTTGAACTCAAAACTCAAATTTAGAAGTTCACATTTGTCCCTAATCCTCTTCCGTAGTTTTCCATTTACTTTCACTTTAGGAAAGATTACGTATCAAATACTGGGACAACTTCGCATAACATCTGTACATCAGTTCATGGTAATGGTAATCCCATATGCATTACACAAGAACATCAGTTTATAATCATATAATGACATTAAAATAAATAAATAATAGTAAAGAGTGTGAGTAATACAGTCAAAAACTTTCTTTAATTCGCGCAGGAGAGGCTCCATAATATCTTTCCACACAATGACAGACTATTACTGCAGCTCCCTCCAACCTGTGCCAACACACAGCCAGGTGTAGGCAGCTAATTGGCTCGCCCATCCGAGCTGCAGTCTCAGCAAGTGGCCGCAGGGATTAGGACTCAGCGGTAGGTATGTGAATGTGCTATCGATACATGCAAACTATTGGATATCAGGTGGAAAATGTGTAACTAAAGTCTACCATAAAAAAAGTTATTCATGTAATTTTTGTGTGGTAACAACTGTTTATAGTAAAGTAAGTAAACAGGTTTACTCGGAAGTCTTCTAAAGCTGTAAAGTGGACACGAAATATGGCTTTCTTTTGTTGTTGTAGAGGATTTTAGGTAGAAAATAAGTCAGATTTCAGGTAGTCGCGAATTTTCTGGACCCTGACACCGAAAGTGCCCATGAGTTGGCTCGTTGGTCTAGGGGTATGATTCTCGCTTAGGGTGCGAGAGGTCCCGGGTTCAAATCCCGGACGAGCCCTGTTTTTTCACTCAATGGTTATTTCCTTCTTTCTATTAGTAAACTTTCCATTCATTGTTATCTTTATTTGTTCTGCGTGGACGATTGTTACCTTTATTTGTTCTGCGTGGACGATGAAAACTGACCAGGATTTAGGAGGATACTGGCTTCTTTATTCATTGCAGCAACAGTAACAAACAGAAAATAAAGTTTTCTGTTATTTGATTGTATTGTTTATTAAAAAATAAAATTGTTTATGATAAAATATTGCTTACGATAAAATTGGGGACATTTTTTTCCCAGAGGACAACAGTATAAGGGTATGGTTGTGTCCACAGAAAGAGAAAGTAATATAATTTTCATATCTTATTTTTTACAAATAAGGTTTTGCTGGATGGCATTGATGGAGAAGTTTGAAACGGACATCTTTTTATTTAATTTTCTCCTTTATTTGTAATAAACTACCTTAAAGATAAGGTCCAAACCTGGATATCTGGGACAAACCCTCCCCAGTAATGTATTACATATAATGGTGACAATGTCTTTCTCTGAAAGAGAGATCTGATCCTTCTGTTTGGGGTTGAAGGGCCGGATAAAAAAACGTATTTCTCCTGCTATGGTGGAATCTGTTGGCGTCCGTTACCCTCAGCCTGCTCAGAATATAGAGACAGCTCTGGCCCTTTCCTATAGACAGCTTGAGTGGTCTTCAAAGTCTTCAAAAATATTTCATCCTCCACAGGGCTGGGAATGCAACTGGCAGTGTCAATGTCTACAGCTGATCATTTTCAAGTGAGTTATTTAAGACTTTCTTCTTCCCATGTAATTTCCTAGTGATATTAAAAATATACGCCAATAACAGTATTATTGCCAGCATTAAAAAGGAATCATAATTGATTTAAGAAGGTCCTTTGCATTCAGTGGGATGACGGAGGGGTCCAGAGGCAGTAGGGAATTAAAAAATTAGCTGACTAACAAGTAAAAGTATGACCCCGACGTGATTTGAACACGCAACCTTCTGATCTGGAGTCAGACGCGCTACCGTTGCGCCACGAGGTCTGAAACAAATATATTGGATATATATTATATGAAGAATGTAGCGACGTGTTTTCTTTGTGGTTTGTTTTAAAAGGTGGATGTAAAGATAAACAAGTTTATAGTCATATAATGGATTTAAATTGTGTCGTAAGGGAATATTGTGACCTGATGTTCAGAGAAAGCACCATGTCCACTGTAATATTGGAATATGAACCTCTGAGAGAGCACGTTGGGCCGGTTAGCTCAGTTGGTTAGAGCGTGGTGCTAATAACGCCAAGGTCGCGGGTTCGATCCCCGTACGGGCCAATGTATTTTATTTTATTTTCCATCGTCCGAGATATGTGGACACTCAAATTAAATGTGATAGATCTCTAACTAGTGTTATTAAACACTTAAATAAAAAGAAGATTTTTCAGCCAGCCATGCATCTACTGGGGATTTTATGTCTTATGGTTGAATCTGAGAAAATAGATTCATTTAATCAGTTTCCTGCGATTACTCTAATACTACTCTAAATACGCAGTTACGGTTGAGGTGGTTTGATGCTTCACAAATGTCACTGAGCAGCATGTCCAGTACAACTGCGACGTTGTGTGGCGACCACAACAAACTGCGCTTATTGTGATTTTTATTTTTTATTTTTATGTTTCCCATATTTTTTTACTAACAACCAACCAAGACCCTTTTCCGGATCGGAAATGGCAGGTATGTCATGGCAGGTTCACATGGATTATGCATCTTCCCAAACGGTCTAACACAGCGTTGGTGGTATAGTGGTTAGCATAGCTGCCTTCCAAGCAGTTGACCCGGGTTCGATTCCCGGCCAACGCAGTCCTTTTCCATTTTGTTCCACAGATTAGTAACTTTAGGTAACTCATACTGTCTCTTAATGTCAACATGTAACTTCTCAATAATTTCTTTTTTTCACAGTTTTTTTTATTATAGTTCACAAATACAGAGCATAATGCAAATACAGCTAATCGACAATGCTCTTAATTTAGATAAATTAGATCAAAAGGTATTTATTTTTGTTTAAATACATAAGATATGAATAAGTCATTGATGATATTTAGCACAGTTAATGGTTGCATATTGCAGTTATCCATCATTATTACAAAAAAAAAATCTGTGGGAAAGTGTGAGGACACAAGTGATACTTGATAATTGATATATTACAGAGAGATTGGAGCAGTTGGAATAAAATTATACAGCAGTGTCATCAAGTTTTTTTTTTTATGTATTGAGGCAACCAAAAATCTCTGAGACCCACATCCCTTGAGAGGGCACAGTGCTTGTGATCTCAGAGATGAGCTACATTTGTGCTGTTCACGAACATTTGTGGTTATGGCCTCACATGTAATGAGTGTGCTCTCCCTCCCACACTGATAGCTTAATGTGTGGTGGTTGAGGAAAACCAACCATTTAGTGTGTTCATTATGTATATATGTCACCAGCCACAAATACTACAATGACTCAGTAGGTATGGGCTGCGTATGTTACACACACACACACACACACACACACACACACACACACACATCATATCACCAGCACTGATAAATAATTGATGCAAACATGTGGCTCTAGAGAAAGAAAAAAGGAGTTTACCTGCTGAAATATGTCACTGTTTCTCCTCTAAGTAACCTCAAGTAAGTTCATTTGTTATCCTATTCACCAGTGTTTATCTCGCTTACCCTCTTTTTCCCTCTGTTGCCATGGATATGCTATTCCTATGGCAACTGCAGGCCTTTATGGATGGCCTCGGGCCCCCACCGTAGAGGACTCTCTGAACCTTTCATTACACATTCCCTTCAAACTCACAGACAAATCACACAAGTAGCACATACTCCAACTCTGTCTCTCCAACTGTCTCCCTTTCTTCCTCTCTCTGCCTTCCCCCCTTCTCTCTTTGTGTCTCTGTGCTGCTCTGCACTGTTGTGTCTCACTTTTAACTTCTTGACACACTGCATGTGTCCAAGACAACCACACAGCTGTTTGTTGTTTTAGTGTACATTTCTCCTAAATTACTTCACTGCATACGTGATACTAGACGCCAGTGCTGGGAGGAAGAGGGCTATGATCAGATTTGTAGCACGCGTATCGCTGTCATAAGAGTCAGCGCCCCCAAGCTTTCTAATTTTCTGGTGGCAATGGAAACCAGAGCTCCATCTTTAAAGATGCATGAGATGTCTTGAGCAACGGAGAATAGAGATGGAGAGCTCTGGCAGAGAAAGTGTTTCTGTGTCAGAGAGAGTGAAAGAAAGGGAGGGGTGAGGCTCGTGCAGATGACAGTAAAGTTGCCAGTGGCAGTGAGGGCCCGAGTTCCACTTGCTGAATGAACCCCGTCAGCATCGGGGAGTACCATGGACTACGCGTGGGCTCAGCCCTGCTCAGCATTGTGGCGGGCTGCATCATCATTGGGGTGTCCAGGGAGTGCGATGCTGATGCTGTAGGAGGTATCTTCCTGGGAGCGGGGGGCCTCGGTGAGTGTGTGTGAAACGTTATAGGATAGAGTCCTTAAACATCGTTGGTTGTCTTGATTGCTTTTTTGCTTTGAGCCTCTAGTATTTTATTTTTCTGTAGTGTCACTGAACTAGTGATGGTGTTAGTGTAACAGTGGATTAACCGTAATGTTCTAATTGTGGGCCCTGTCCCTCTTTAACAGCTTTCAAAAACATCACATTGAAAGTTCCTAATAACTTTTTTGAAGAATTGCTTTAAAACAGGATTTTGACCCCGGAGGCTGCGACAGAAAATGTCACATAACTTGTGGTTGTAATCTCAGAGACCCCAACTGTAAAAGTGGTTCAATACACAATGGATTACAATGGATCCTCATATGCTGTGTGTCTGGTGTTGACAGTAGGCTGCACTGCCCTTCCCAAATGAAGTTGAATTGCTCTTTTTGGAGTTTTAAAATAGCAGTTTGTTTAGAAGAGATAAAAAAGGGAGATTAACTGAGCCCAAACATTAAGTTACATCACTATATAGGAATAATCAACTTTCATTGTGATTGAGTTATTGGAAAAGGCATACATGTTTTTTCATGCATAGCCCAAAAAACATATTAAGGATGTATGCAAGCTTAGATTCTGGCCAAAGCAAATGTCCCTTTTATTTTAGTGTTTTTCTTGATATCAGAGTTATAACAAGGTCAGAAGAAAAAACATATATATATATTTAAATGAGAAATGGGATCTGTGAGACCCCAAACAGTGAGGATTTAAAATTTATGTCAACAAAACACACGTTTAAAACAAAATCTCCTCAGAGTTTTGTCTGGTTTGAGGGGGACAAACTGATGAATATTTGTTTAAAAATATATCAAAAATTCAGTTGAAAAACCAGTGGCCTATGACATTTTCCATCCACCGTTCTTGAAAAACACATCATGTGATCACTTGATACAACAGTGTAACTGGAACCAGCTGACGGCCCGACGAGTTGCACTGCCAAGATAGACTGCTTTCCTGGAGAGAAGGAGCAAAGGTCAGGGCTTCTGATCGGAGGAAGACAACATCAGCATACATTGTTAATGTGAAATGTGTCCTCACTGGTGATCTGATCAACTTTCAATAATTAATTTTGACGTCCTCAATGTACACAAGAATTTGGCAAATCAAAACTGTGCACAGCAGCTTGTCAGAGACATTCACTCTGGCAGCACTTGTGCAGCTAAGTAGCATCTAATTATGTGTTTGGGGGCTTATGTGCCTTGATGCCTCCTCCAACACATAGGCTGACTAATGAGTATGAACAGAGTGTTCTCGGCAGATTCTTTCACTCCTTCTGCAGTTTCATGACATTTTAAGCACATACATGCATCACAGACACCCTCAGGACCTGCCAGGGTTTAATGCCAGTTCCTGTGGCTTGTAAGGGAAATCAATAACTGTGTTGAATTGGAGCAGAGTGCCACTGAGAGGCACACAAGCCCTGCGGTTCAGATATTGCTTTATGCTTCGAGTTGAACTGGAAGAAACATCACACACTGTATCTGGTACACTAAAAATAATCTGAAGGCTATTTCATCAAACAGTCTCATAGTTGGTCCTGATCGTCTGCAAGTATGGGAAGAGTTTTTTTTACCTTCTGGTGAGGCTCACAGGCAATAAACGAGAATGTGCAAGTGATTAGATTTTATGCTTCTATACCACGCTGAAATTTGATATCCCTTTATAATGAGATTTTTCCTAGAGCCTGCATTACACAATAGTTTCCTCTAATCCTGGTTTTGTTTAAGTCTACTACAGTGCAAATTCAGGGCAAGTAATAAAAATGATTGATTATCGTTTCTTTGGAACCCAAGATTGGGAAAAATATTTACACTGACGATGCAATTAATCGGTTATTACTTCTTGTTTATTCAACCTATAGTGATTAGGAAACTATAGTAACAGCAGTGTTTTTATATCAGTCATCAAATTAATAGTGCTATCTGCTTTCCAGGCCTGCTCATATCAATCTACCCCTTCATAAAAGCCTGGCTGAACATCAACCATATTCTTCCATCCTTTGGTAAGTTGTTTATTGTTATCCATTATTTGAAAAAAGTCATTTATGTACTTGTACTTAATTAAATACATTGTTTCATCACACGCCATGCTGTGATGTAAATGAAAATTTCCCAGGAAATTTCCGAGTGCACCCCACACCTGCCAATCCTGCTCCCGATCAACCTGTAGAGACACTAAGAAGAGAAGGTGAGTGCATGTGTTCCTTAATGTTTCAACAGAGAAGCAAAGCCAAACATATGCAGGTATCATTTAAGATTCAAAAAAGATACTGTGTTCACTTAGCTACTTGATGTCTGGGATTTGTTGATAATAACTCTGACACCAGTCTGCACACCGGAGAGCTAATTAACACCAGTGAGAGAGGTGTTGTGTCTAGGTGGTTACTGCAGAGCATCAGCCGTCTCTAATATTTCACAGGGTGCAGTTGAATAGTAACAAAAAAAAGGTGTGCTTTCTTCTTTCATGATCAAGATCAAGTAAAGATGTAAATGACAAAAGAGCCATTGTGCTGAGAAGATCTGAAAGTCACATAAACATGTTACAAAGTGTAAACATTTTCATATAATGTTATTAGTGTGTAGTGTATATTAGCATCATACAGCAATGTACAATCACAAATCACAAGACACTGTTATGGTACTGAGCAGCCAACCATACACATATGATAAGAGATTAATAACATTTGAAATGAAGACCTACACGTTTGTGCTCCAATGATAAGAAGGGAAATACGAATGTAATATGCATATTAAAACTACACACTGAAAGGTAATCATATTTTATCTAATTATGTAGAGAGATTCCATTTAAAGTAACTCACCATGATCATTTCTAAAAGACAGGTCGCTCTGTGCAGGAAAATGTTGCCAACATGCACTAAGTCTTAAAGTTCTTCTATCAATTTCTGAAACTCTTTGCAGAACTTCATTTTCTTGACTTTTATTTGTTAATATTATCAAGCCCTAATGTTTAAAAAAATTAGATGAATAGAAAAAAGTTGGTGAGGAACAGCTGTATGATATTGTGAGTTACAGTTATAGGAGCAGCTATGAGATGGCAATTTCTCTTTTCATGTTATCTTGTTTTAAATGGCGAAGACAGCTAGAAGAATACATAATGGACAATCCAAGTATATGTTCTCCTGCCAGCTTTCATAGTACGATACAGCTCTCAGATTTCCACAGACTGGTGAAACATATAATGTTGTACTGAACGTTGCAGTATGTTTATCTGCTCACCTCTTGGCAGGGACTCAGAGTCAACTAAATCTGGAACGTTCAAAGAGTCGAATGGGAACCTTTGTGGAGGGTGGACCAACGGAGACCAACCCAGACGAGGGGTATGATACCAATATTATATCCAGAGAATTCATTGCAGTTCATGCAATTAATGTGGATTCATACACGAGAGCAACGAGTGGTGTTGTGTTCAAATAGTGCAAGAAAGGTAAGGATGAGCACGTTGTGGAGGTGAATGGGTGTACAATACAATTAAGTTCAGCATCAGAGGGTTCACATCCTATTTGAAGTCACAATCAATCAATCAATCATTTCCCTATAGTCTAGATGATGTTACCCTAATCTTAAAGTGCTTTTAGTTCCCTAAATTTAACTATACTTTATTCAGGTTTTAACTTTTGAATTGTTGTTTGAGTTGTCCGTCAGAAGTACAGGCCAGAGCAGTGTGACGGGAAACTGCTGTTCATTTTCCACTTTCTTTGACGATGATCTTTCCCTCGCCTTAACTGAGTAATTCTTATTTCAAGATCCTCAACCTAACCAAATTCTAATCATTGCAGCGACAGATGAAAAGAATAGTGTGTCTCAAAAACCTCCTGCAATAGATGAGTAAATTGACCCAGATTCCAAACAACTCTTGATTTGCCCTCATTATTATAAAGCTATACTATTTTTACACACTAATCTATGTCATCTGTCAACAAATACTGCAAGAATGTTTTTGGATGCATCGTAAATTCTTATGTAAATGCCCAGAGATTAATTAACTAAAACTTCAAAGACTTTTAATGACACATTTTCCACATAGTCCATAAAGCTGTGCGTTAACACTGGACTCATTGAGTGGAACAATCCCTTCTACTTACTGTAGGAACACAGAGATCTTTGAGGATAATGTTATAAGGTTACTGTCCTGCCAGACAGAGACTCAAAGCAGTGCAATGATTTGACCTTCAGTTTTTAGATGTGTGTCTGTTTTTATCTCATTTTGTTCATTTTGGGTTTGAGGCAGTCACTGCAAAGCAAGGGCCGATATGATGATATTGATCTATCAGAATCAGAATCGGTTTTATTGCCAAGTAGGTTCACATGCAAAGAATTTGCCTTGGTGAATTGGTGCATAACAATAAACGTATAAAATAGAGACAGTAAATCTAAACTATGTGATTTGAAGGCTAATTTATCATATTATATGTTGTTCACTGATTTGGGGACAAATGACTGATCACTTAATATAAAGGAGATGATTGATTAAGTCATGCTACATGAAGAAGTGATCTTATGTGCTGCACTGTTAGTTTGTTGCTGATAATATGAGGACAGGTTGGTAGTAAACTTTTTATTTTGTTTGCTTTTATCATAGCAAAGTTGTCAACAAAACATCTTCATGAAAACATGCTTTTTTGTTGCCTGTCCAAACTATTTAGAGGTGAAATGGTGACTTTCTAAAGGGAACATTAAAAGGTATTACCTTCTTTTCATAGTCAGTCACTTGGATGTTTTTGCTGTGGAAACACAGATACTGGATAGATTTCAGTTATGTCAGATCATATCATCCATTAACTGTATGTGTTGACCCGTGTCACTCTAAGCTTGTAGATATATACATTTTCCTTCAAAGGTAAGCATTTTTACAAACCTGTGAGTGATATGTGAAAAATAATAATAAAGGTCCAGTGTGTAACATTTAGGAGGATCTATTGGTAGAAATTGAATAATCATAACTATGTTTTTCATTATAATCACCTGAATAAGCCATTTTTATCTATAGTCCACCATGTTGAACTGCCATGTTTCTACTGTAGGCCAGAATAAAAAAAAGAGAGATAGAAGAATAGAAAAGAGATAGGGCATTTGACGTTTTTTGGGACTTTTGCGGCCACCGTAGTTTCTCCTACACGCTTGGAATGTTGCAGTCTTCAACATCACCACTAGATGCCACTAAATCCTACACACTGGTCCTTTAAATCTAGAAAATCAAGGTCACATTTACTGCAATGTTAATGTTAGTTATCTTACTGCCTGTATCAGCATCAGAAAATTATCCAAAGAGGTCATAAATACACTAATTATGCAACAGTCATTTCCTCTACTCTTTATATTACTCTTAAATTTTCCATGACTTATGGGAGTCAAGTAATATAAGTTGTCACAAATGGAAGGAAGACATTGTAAACAGATTCCTCTAAACAGATAATTTTCATTTCTGTCCACAAGATGTTTTAGTTCAGCTTAATCAGACCAACAGACACGATACAACATTCCTTGCTTATGTGAGTCATGTGTGGTGTGTTGCAGGACATCTACAGACATGCCAGACGTCTTATCTAGACGGAAACTCAAGCAGTTGCCTACTGATCAAGACCTGCCTTGACGTCATCACATGACCTGACTGACCAATTCAACTGATCTTCTTCATGAGGTTTCTTTCAAACGTGAAACAAAAGACGCTGAATTGAATCTTTCTGATTCATTCTTTTTTTCTGTATAATTGTTGTATCTGCTGAACTCACCTCATAATGTTCTACTAATGTAGTCTAATAAACATCTCAAAAGATTCAGTTGTAATTGTTAGTGAAGTATTCTTATACTTCCTGACAGGGAGTGAAGCAAATTAAGCCCAGTGGTCCCACTTGTGTGCAGCTCAACTCATCATGGCACAACAGCCAGCAATTAAGATATTATTGAGGTTGTTACGTGATGAAGGGACTCGTATATGATTCAGCTCAAGTTTCCCTGCTTGTGTATGTCATGAGCAAAACAAATTGGAGTACATGCATGCGTACAGACACACACACACACACACACACACACACACACACACACACACACACACACACACACACACACACAGGGACAAATAGCTACTTCCACTGCATACAGTGAACTGCACCCCCGCAGTGAAACATAATGCATTAATATTCAGGACAGCACAGGCAGAATGGCTGCTGCATGGGAAGTGGCGTGGGGAAGAACGCTGTGCTCTGACAAAAACTGTGACGTGCTGTGAGGTTGAATAATGTAGGCAACAGGAGCCGGAGGAGTCTGCAGCACCTTGATGACAACAGGCAGTCTGACTGTCAGGCCTCGGATCACAATCGCACCATCCCTCTGTGTCTGTGTTAAGAACTGACGATGGAGGGACTCTTAATTGCACATCACCCAGATACCGTGAAAATGAAACACCCTGGGCCGCACCTTAAAACCAGAACCGCAAACACTTAAAGGGTCAGTTCACCCAAATCACAAAAAATTATCCAAATGACCCCTTAATGTGTCCGGCCACATATAATTATTTTATTTTACAATTTGCAAGGTCAAGAAGGAACTTTTTCTCTCAGCTTTTAAGATAATATATGTTCCTATTTCTAATACAGCAACGTCTCAAAAGGATTTATAAGCTTTACACATTTTTTTTATCAGTTAGAATGTATTATTGGTTTACTGATGCTTTATAAACAGTTCCCAACCCTTAATATCTGCTGTCTCATTTCTCTTTAAATCAGAAAGACCCCTCCAATGGACTGTTTGACCTCAGGCCTTATGAACCCTTTATAAATGATTTTTTAACATTCAGTTACAGACATCTTACTAACCTGTGTTATTGTCTTATTAGGTGACTCTTTATTAATAATATTGGTAACCTAAACCTGTTGGATTATTGGACCATTAGAAATTCATGACTCTTTGTTAATGACTCAAGAGCCAGAGAGAGTTTTCACACCCTGGCAACCCAGGTTGTTCTAATTAATGACTTATAACTGATTATGTTGTAATGATAACATTAACTAAGCCATTAATTACAACTTTTTAAAGAGTGCCATGTTACAAATCATGTTTGAATCATATTATTTAAGGGCTGAAAGCTCCATAACAAGGCAACTGAAGAGACACTTCAACTTTTAATTAAAATTTCAAAATAAATGGTGAAATAATACAAAATATTGCACGATCCTCTTGAAAAATCAGCAACAAGTGAACAAAGGTGAGCTGAAGAGCTACAGGCAACGTGCAACACACACACACACACACACACACACCAGGTTGAGCTGGTAAAGGATGGACCGCTGAGGAGGAGGCAGGACAGTCGCATCCAGAGGAGGGACGAGGCTCTGCGCGGCAGATCAAATATGAATTAATGAAATATGACGACCGGGAACCGACTGTGGGAGAGATGCCTCGCATATAGAAGCGTTTTCCCTCCATTTCCGCTGCAGGACGACCTGTCAGGTGCTACGTGCGTCTCTCGGTCCACATCAGGAGCGGTGCGCGGTGTTGCGTCTGTGTGTCAACTCAGAGGAAATGCCATCTCACCTAAATGATCTTCCCTCTCCCCTTTGGATTTAATATTCCTTTAGCGGGGTCGGATCGCCTCGTTTTTGTGTTTCCGCGGCCACTGATTGAATGGCTGTCATGACTTGTGCCCTCAGGACTGTAAAGCTACGAAAGCAGGATGAAAATCCCTCGTTTGGTGTTTATGCGTCCTTTCAACCTCTCAGTAATTACACCCGGTAATTAGACTGGGAATCTCGGTGAAAATCTACAGATGAAACAATGGGAAGACCTTCAGTGCATCGACATAAAGGGTAAGATCATTTTTATTTCTCATTTCTGCGGTTTAATTTCACAGGAATGCAACACACCAGTGGAATAAGCATGTGTGCCATTTAAATATGATCTTAGCAATACCCAGTTCACACTTAAATGCAGCCTACACTTTATATATTTAGGGTCATAGATTTACTGATGAATACATTTACCAAATAAATGATCTCTTCCCCACATCCCCTGTCTTCATTTGCACTGTGTCCTTTTGAATGGAGGCTGCATGCTGGAATGAAAAGGCTGATTTGATTGCAACTAAATACTGAAATGCTTTCCCCCAGTGGCCTAGCTGGCACGAATGAGGCAGCTGCAGTGCGATTGCACACATTTTATTTCACACAATAAGATACAAAAAATAACGATTCTGATTAATCATGTCACATTATTAAGGAGCTTAGAAAATAATGGTGATACAAGAGTTACAGGTTGCATGCATCTCATTTTATACTGAGGCTTAGTTATCGTGTAATTATTCAACAGTATGAATAGTCACATTGCCCATTAATTGTGCAACAATTACCTCTCAACTGTTGCACTATTGTTGTTTATTTCAATGTTTACTTCAATGTTTATTTTTCTCTACCATACCTACATTATCTGTTGTTTTACATAGACAACTTCAGTTTTGACAAAAACCAGCAAGAATATATTCTTAAAAGTTTAGTTTAGTTCATTTTGAGATCCAAGATTTCAATATTGGACCGTATTCTCTGTAGTCCTTCCACAGATATGCGACTAGCCTCTAGTGACTACAGTAGTAGTGCCCAGCATATTTTACTTGCAGGCTATCAGATATTTATCATATATATGTCAGTCCACAACCTCTCCTGATATTTGTAATTTATAGGAGTAGCAGGGCAGAGTGATGAATGTTCAGAGCTCATTGACGGATTACACAGACTCTGTCAGGAAGGACACTTCACTATGCCCACCATGATTATTCACTAGCTGTCCACTGATACTAGTGCAGAACAAGAGCACTGTAATAAGTGCACTTATCAGTAGGCAAGAGTTTTTTTTCTTTGTATGAATCTGAAATAAAAACTCTGTATTGTCATGCCATGTATTGTTGTTTACAGACAAAGACGTCTCCTGGTTGTGAATTTATTTAAACGTTGCCATGGAGAAGAGTTTGGACTGAGACACGGGGAGATTTGATATCACAGTGTAAGAGAGAGAGAGAGAGAGCCCGGAGGTGAAGACATGGTCATCACTGACAGAAACACCAGCACCCCTGTTCCTAAAAAGGACCCTCAGAAGAAGACGAGAAGGAAGTCTCGCCCTCATGGCCTGCCCTCTCCGGCACTCTGCTGTGCCTGTGGCCTATGCATCATGCTGGCTGGACTCAACATCACCCTGGTGGGAGCGTTTGCCTTCAGCACACTGGTGCCTTCTGCCAATCCCCCAATCATCATCGGACCTATTCTACTGCTGGTTGCCTTTTCCTTTTTCGGGGCCTGTTGCGTGTGCAGCCGGCTCCCACCTCCCCACAGCTCACGGAGGTCTAAGGTGGGTGGCAGGGGCACGGGGCTGATGGGACACGGCGGGCTGGCCGGTGGGGCAGCATTTGAAATAGAGACCAGCGAGCACACGCTGCAGGATACCACAGCTGTGCAGCTCAGCCCCACATCGTCTCCTGGATCGTCCCAAGTGTCCAGCCCAGAAAAGGAGGTTCCTGATGCGGCCCTACCAGGGCCCTGTAAGCTCTTCACCCTGGAGACCAACGGCCCTTCTTCTGTTTCCGCCACCGCAGTCTACTCAGCCTCCACAGCAGCAGGAGGGGAAGTGAGGCTCAACCTGCCACGTGAAGAAGTGGTCACCTAGCAGCACAGAAACTCTTCCAAGGCCGGAGTGCTAGCAGTGTAAATAGCCTTCTGGGTTGAGGGCTTGCTGAGTGTGATTGTGTCCTCTAGTTTACGTAGTGCCATATTTCTGGTCGTGACAAGTTGTCAGCCGTATGCTTTAGATTTTCTTGCTGTGCAGCCAACTGGTAATAAGCATGCAAAGTTAATGAAACATCCAAGTATTTGTGGATCATAGGTTTTGGAATTAAAATTCCTACCTTTCTTGTGCTGTTTTCCTACAGGTCTTTGTTCTTAATGTGGGGCATTATGGAGAGTTTTCATGTAGAAATCAAACTAAGAGTCTGAAAACCATTAACATTTATCTTTCACTGTTACGTTGGTTTGTGGAAACCTCAGCTGTCAGCAGTGATTCGAGAGGGCTCGCCCGAAGAATGTGATTGTTGAATTGTTCTTAAAAACTTAAAGATTAGATGTGAAAGGTCGTTAGTGAAAACCAGAGTTGAACTGTACAGGTACGTTTGTGGTGACATTTGGCATTTTGTGTGCCATTCTCAGTGCTGAACTTGTTTTGGGGGCATAAAATATTATAGGTCACCGGGGTCCCAAAGCAATATTCTCTCACCTGAGGTTAAATTCTTGGCATTTACAGTTTTTCACAAGGGAGTGATCACACACTACTTGTCTACAGCCAATACAATGGTGCATATGGAGTTACAATATATTTACATGCAAATGTGTGTAATGTTTCCATAGTCTGACAGACTTCTGCCATCACACTAACACTGTGAATATTATGTTTCTCACCACATTCAACTCAAATCACAGTTTTAAGGTCACATTCATCTTGATATTTTCAGTAATTTATGTAATGCAGTTTAGGTCAAGATCCAGGTGAAACAGGGACTTACGTTACTGTAGGCCATGGAAATTAGTCATAAATGAATGAATTTATTGAACTTGAGTTCATGTTTTACAAATGTAAACGTGTGAATTTCACAGTAATGAATTCTCATTTTTAATGTGTGACAAACTTCAACTTCATATTCAGCAGAAGTTAACCTCCACTGGACCTAGTATACACAATATGGACAAGCCAAGAAGTCTGACAGAGTTTAGATATATAGATTGCATAAAAAAAAGTATCTGTC